CATTTATTGCGCTTAAGCTGCAAGTAAACAGCACTCATTAGATAAGTTCAAAATGAAGAATAAAACAAAGAAAAATTATAGACATATGAAAAAAAGGGGGTGGGAAATAATAAGTAAAAAAACAACAAACAATATTTTATTTAAAAAAAAGAAAGAAAAAAAAAGTGAAATGTTAATTAAAAAACCGGAAAAAAAAGATATAATCTTTTCTTCAGCCCACACGATTATATCCGCAAAACAGAGTGCTTTCTGATATTGTATCAATAAAGCCAAAGCAAAATATATTAATACAATAGTGTGAGGAGCACTCAAAAATTTTTTTTATAAAATAACTACATAAAAATAGATCATAAAAAGTAATAAATGTAATAAAAGTAATAAAAGTAATAAAAGTAATAAAAGTAATAAATGTAATAAATCAATAAGATTCTAAAATACTTTCTTAATGATCTCAATAGTTTTTGTTTAAAGATATCAAATAGATTCTCTTTACCTTTAGGTATGCTAACAGAATGGAAATGGGAAGTTTATTATTACTTTAAAAACTTTATTTTCAATAATAAGGATAATTTAAATAAGAATAACAATTCAACAAATTTTTCTAATATTGTTCAATCAATTAAGCAACTTCAAAAAAATTTTGTAATTACTCCCATAGACAAAGCTAACAATAATTATGCTATATTCTGTAAAAAATTCTATGCTGAACTTTTAAATACGGAATTAAAAAATAGTAAAAATTTTAAACTTAGTAATTTCAATAATAATATAGTCATTAAAAAAATTTTAACTTTATATAAGAGATTAAAAATTAAAATTAGCAATATACAATTTCCTTACTTAATTATCAGTCCTAAATTTCATAAAATTCCTGTAAAATTTAGAACTATCACATGTGGATCTAATACTTATCTAGCTAAACCTGGCACCATTTCCTCTAACTACTTAAATAAAATTATTAAAAATATTTCTAAAGAAGGTTTCTCTTGGATTATCACTAATAATCATTCAATTTTAGAATTCATTAAACATAATAAAATTAATTCTATTGCGACTTTTGATTTCCAGGATCCTTTCAATAGCATTCCCCTTTCTAAACTAAAAGATGTCCTTTTAAATTAATACTATGATTTTAAAAATATCCATTGCTGCGATTTTGATTATTGGGAAATTCTGATTAATTTTTGTCTTTCTAATAATTATCTTTACAATGGAAAGGATATTTTTCTTCAAATTGATGGAATACCACAAGGATCTAATTATTCATCTCTCTTAGCTAACTTATTTTTGCATTATTATGAAATAAATTTTACTGTTAGTATTAAATTTGTTTTTAGTATTAAATTAGTATTAAATTAGAATTAAATTCGTTTTGATAATTGATGACTTAATTATCTTTAATTTTCAAGATTTTACTATTTTATTAAATGATGTTTACCCCGAGTAATTTATATTGCTTCGTAATCATGATGATAATATTAATTTCAATTTTTCGGATTTGGGTATTATAAAAGCTGAAAATATCTGCTTTTATGATTTATATGATAAAAGAAATGATTTTAATTCTCATATAAATAAACTGATTACTTGGAATTCTAATGTTTATAGGAGCATCTATTTAAAACCACTTTTAATGAAATGAATAGAATAAAAAGAATATGTAGTAATATTTATTTATCCAAAAAACAAATCGATAAACTCTTTCAAAATTTGTTAAAAACAGTGCATACCCAACTAAAGTAATAAAATTCTAAAAAATCATTGAATTAATCGTATATTTATGTGGATATATTTACTAAAAATTTTCTTTGTTAATTGATATAATTTTCCCATGTGCAAATCCATCTCGGGTAAATCCGTTGCCAAAATTATTTACTAAATTTCTTTGTTAATTTCTATAATTTTTCCATGTGCAAATCCACTTCGGGCAATTCCGTGGTCAAAATTATATACTAAAAAATTCCTTTACTAAAAAAATTCCTTTTTTAATTTACATAATTTTTCCATGTGCAAATCCATTTCGGGCCAATCCGTGGCTAAAATTATTTACTAAAAATTTCTTTATTAATTTATANGCAAATCCACTTTGGGCAATTCCGTGGTCAAAATTATATACTAAAACATTCCTTTACTAAAAAAATTCCTTTTTTAATTTACATAATTTTTCCATGTGCAAATCCATTTCAGGCCAATCTGTGGCTAAAATTATTTACTAAAAATTTCTTTATTAATTTATACAATTTTCCCGTGTGCAAATTCATTTCGGGCAAATCCGTGTTTAAAATTATCTACTAAAAAATTGCTTCTTTGTTAATTTATGTAATTTTTCCATGTGCAAATCCATTTCGGGCAAATCCGTGGGTAAAATTATTTACTGAAAATTTCTTTATTAATTTATACAATTTTTCCATGTGCAAATCCATTTCGGGCAAATCCGTGTCAAAATTATCTACTGAAATTTTTTTCTTTTTCAATTTATATAATTTTTCCATGTGCAAATCCATTTCGGGCAAATCCGTGGATAAAATTATGTGCAAAACAGGCAATTCATATTTCTCTTTTCTATTTTATATTTTTTTCTTAAATAAATATTTATTTTCTAAAATTATTTATGGTCAACTTCTTTAAATTACCCAGCATAATATTACCTTGCGCACATCCATTTCGTGCCCCTCCTTGGTAACTAACAAATCAAACGCACTTCAGCAATGCAGTAAGAACGGCACTTTAAAACAAAACTCCTATAGTTACGCTCAATTTGCGCTTTTGTTTTAATAGTTTGCAATCTGGCAATCCTGTTACGAAAATATTTTTTAAATCATTCTTGAAAAATTTCCCGTTCATGTAAGTACATTTGAATTCGCTACTCGCTTTATGGATTTTGTTTTATTCTGTTTTTTTCTTTTCCTTTTATTTTATTTTCTGTTTTTACGTGTTATTTTTACTTATTGCGTTCTATTTTATTTGTTGTAATTTTTATAAAAAATTTTTTTGAGTGCTCCTCACACAATTGTATTAATATATTTTGCTTTGGCTATATTGATACAATATCAGAAAGCACTCTTTTTTGCGGATATAATCGTGTGGACTGATGAAAACATTATATCTTTTTTTTCCAGATTTTTGAAAAAAAAATTATGCTTTTTTTTTCCAGTTATTTGTTTTTTTTTTATCATTATTTTTCTTTTCTCCCCTTTTTACATTTGTCTGTAATTTTCCTTTGTTTTATCTTCATTTTGAACTTATATATATATATATATATATATATTTGTAGAAAATATNTATATATATATATATATATATATATAATAATACTTCCCTCACTTAACCTGGCACCATTTTCTTTAACTACTTAAATAAAATTATTCACGATATTATTAAAGAAGATTTATTATTTTTTACCTGGATTATCACTCATAATCAACCGATTTTCGAATTTATTAAACAAAATTAAATGAATTTTATTGCGACTTTCCAGGATCATTTCAATAGCATTCCCCTTTCTAAACTGAAAGATGTTCTTTTGAGTTATTACTATAATTTTAAAAATATCCGGAATTGCGATTTTGATTATTGGGAAATTTTATTTAATATTTGTCTTTTTAATAATTATCTTTTCAATAGAAAATATATTTTTATTCAAATTGATGAAATACCACTAGGATCTGATTTTTCATCTCTCTTAGTTAACTTAATTTTTTTTTAAATTAAAAACTAATAAAATTATTTTCACTATGTATTAGTAACAAAATTATTTTTATTTTTAGTAATAATTGATATGCGTACATGAAATTGAACTAAGTGAAGGAACAAATTGAATCAGTTTTGGATGACCGAAAATTCATTAACTGACCTAAATACTGTTCCCTAGATAACAACGTTACCAGATTGCAATAAAAATGCGACAGTAACGGAGACTCATCCGTGAAGTCACTTTTAGTTTTGTGACGTCGATGCGTAGGTTTAAAAAATTTACTATGTCTTCGTTTAGTGACGTCACACTTTGACACCACCCAGACGTCAACATGAAATCACACTATGACTTAAAATTATCGGAGTAATGTCATCGACGAAAGCGTGACATATTTACGTCCCAATAGGCTCATAATGTGACAAAACTGTGACATATTTACGTGTCACCAATGACACGGTGTGACGAATCCGTGACAGATTTACATATTAACGGGTCTTGATGTGACGAAAGTGTGATATATTTACGACTCAACGGGATCGCTGTGTGACTAAGTTGAGACAATAATAGGTCACATCTTCGTCACACAGGGACGTCATAACGACAATTAAATATGTCACTGTGGTCCCAGGTAGGGGCCTAGGTAACGTCAAAATGTGACGCCACCAAAGGCGGACATAATGATCTACGTATTTATGTGCATCAACGTCGCAAAATCTGCACGTGACTTTTCAAATGAGTCTTCGTTACTGTAGCACTTTTATTGCAATCTGGTGATGGTGTTACCTGGGACGTACTTTCATATGAATTTCAAAGTTAGTTACAATAATCCCACCAGAAAAATGTTTATCATAATCAAGATTTTTTATATTTCAGAACTGCATAATCTCTCTAAACAAAAAGATGTTCCAAGAGTTCCTTAAAAGCGTTTGTGGTGAGACAACAGCAGCCATCATCGTGATAGTTGTTGTTACCGTCTGCATTTATTACTACAAAAGGAATAAAGGTTTGCCTCCGGGACCCGTGTCTTTCCCCTTTTTCGGTTACTCCCTCATCCTGAAAGATGACACTTGTCACCGGACACTGGAAAGATTGCAAAAGAAATACGGTGATGTATTCAGTTTCACTTTTGCCGGTACTCTGTACATCAACATGGGAAGTATGAAGGCCGTTCAAGAATTTCATTTAACCCATGCAGAATGCTTTCAGCGAAGCAACGATTTTTCAATTATCTCATATTTCTTCAACAGTGGTACGTTATTTCAACAGCATATTTTAAACACCACCTGCTCGCTCCGTTCACTAAACCCTATATCTTATTCATCCTTTTTTCGTTAGTCAATAATTTCCACAAAAACAAAGTACATTTTGTTAACGAAATATACAATAATTGCAGTTTTATTCAGGAACATGTTTCCAATATGTTAATCGTTATGAAATGAACGATTACCTGAATGTGAGAAATATTCACCTGTACTTGAAAAAAAAAGTTAACCTAAGGAATGCAGTTTATGTGACTAAATAAGAATAAGATAACAAGATTTAAAACAGCTCAAATAGGGAACGGTTTTCTATTTATTCCTTTTTTTTTATCTTTTAAAATTTCAATGTAAAGATATCTGGCAAAATCTTATCTTTTACTTTTTTTTTCTTTTGATGGGCATCAACTCAAGGGTGAGCTTTTAAAATAACGCTTTTGGTTGAGAAAAAGTTTTCTATGACAATGGATTAATCGACAAAAAATTTGAGTTATGTTTTACGCATTTAAAAAAAATTTAAAAAAAAAAAAAAAAAACTTACCAAAAAAATTTTTTTGAAGGAAAAAAACCTTACGTTAATTTAAATAAACAATGCTTTATTGCAAGTTTAGCTATTAATAATTCTCAAACTAATGAATAAATGTTTTTTTTTTATTTCGTTGTGTACTTGTGCATTTTCGACTTCTGCCACACCTAGACGTCACACCCGTTTTATAGGGCGGACCCATTCATACATCCATTCACTCATTCACAGAAATTTTGACCTGAATCAGAGAACAATCAATCTCCAATCCAGTACCCCCAGAGATATTGATTTGTTATGGGAACATGGAGAACTTTGCGACTCGACAGATTGAACATGTATCAGTCACCATTTTACTCTTCAGCCGGCGGGGTTCGAACCCACGAACTCTCGGACATGTTCACCGACCAGGCTATCCCGGCCCCATTTATCGCCAGTTTTACTCATCGACACTCCTCAAAGGCCTCGCATTACGGACTAAAG